ATCATGCCCTTGTCCACATCTGCCAAATTCACACCTGGGGTGAAGATGAACATGTGTTTACGCTAACGTTTGGATAGAGCAGGCCTCAGACTTCATTATGGTTAGAAAAGGCTAGCAAGTGGCCTGTTGCCATTAGGACTATTAGTAATATCTTCTTGTCTTTAAGCATTTTCATCCCTCTTGATGTACTTGCTTCCACATGAACAATCAATGAGTCACTGTAAAAACACTCATCACCATTTTACACTGATGGCCACTTGTTCAGCCCTTGGCCTGTATTATGAGAGTATATATAATTGAATCTCCTGACCTCTATTACTATACCCAATATTACTATATCTGAAATTAAGAGCTTCTCATAGTTTCCTATAAAATGTAAATCCTGCCACATAGTACTGCCTTGCTAAGCCTGTGCAGAGTATAATCACATTTTAAAAGCTCCCTCAGGAAAGGCACGTTATAATAGACTTTTAATACAGTCCAAGGAGCTGCCTTATACTTTTTATTAATATGGTCATCCTTCAAACTCAACGCCCAGCAAGTGACACAACATTTTTATTGGACTCTTGTAATACAGGCACCAAGATCTTATTTTAGTGATACCTAAGTACTTCCTCAGCCCTTACTGCTACATCTGAGTTCTCCATTAGTTCTTGTGAGCCTAAGACCTTGTCAGCCCCTTGCCCTGCTCTTCTGTGCTGGAATCCACCCCTTCCCTCCTATCCTCACTTCTTTCACCTTCAGCATTATCTAACACTGGACTTCTATGCAAACCTACCTTCTCCAGCAATATCACCTCGCACTCGTGTTATCCAGCTCCTTCCCCTACCCTTTAACCTCTTCCCACCCCTGGTCACATCCCTCGCATTAACACCACCTCCCCCTCATCAGCACCCCACCCTCCTTTCCGGCCGCCCTCAACAATTGCCAACAAACCCGGCACCCAGACGCACAATTTAAGGGTGAATTCAAGGCCACGGCGGGTTGCCCATCCCCGAGGTTCCTCTGGCCGAGCCCCGGCCGCTCCCGGGGATGCTCCAGGCATCCCCCGCCAGCGCACTTGGCGTCTTGGGGCCGGCGCATCTCTTCCACTGATTAATAGATTCCCTAAGAACATAGAGACGAGGGCTACTGGCTGAAAAGGGGTAGTTTTTAGACTAAATGTCTGTTAAAATTATTTTTTATTTTACTTTTATTTTTTTTTCCCCCGAAGCAGCTCGTCTCGGAGACGAAATGCAAAACAGCATTGTACGATGTTAGGGGGTTTTCGCGTTTTTTATTTCTGCTTTTCGAACTTACGCCCAAGAGCGGGTTTTCTTTTTTCCCTTTTTCTCTTTTTTTCTTTTTTTTTTTTTTCCTAATTGAAAGGTAGATAAAAATAAAGGGGAAACTGGAAAGGAACATTAGCAGGGCAAAAATAATTTTTGCAACAGAGTTTTAGTATTTCTGTTGAAGCCCGGGAGATGGAAATCGGAATGGATTTTTACGCTCTTTAATTGATGATAAAAGCAGCAGAAAACAGTAAAAGAGCCTATTCCGCTCCCGTTGTAGCCATTTATCCTCCTCTCGGTTCCATCTGTTGAGCTCCAGGAGCGCCGCGACTGCCCGGGGTGTGCGGCGGGAGCCGAGCGGGGTCCCCCGGCGGCCGCGCCTGCCCGGCTCGTCCTATGGAGCGGCTCCTCCTCGGGTTTTTCCACCTGCTTAATCACATTTAAATATATTAAATACTTTCCCCTTGTTGTTCTGGCTTAAGAAGTAATTGCCGCAGTTGCCATGGGGATGTTACGACAACACAGGGGGGGACGCCCGCGTGATTTAGGGGCGGCAGAAGTGTCCCCTCGCCTGGAGGACGGGGGAGGTTTGTGCGCCCGGGAGCGGCTGGCCCGGCTCTGCCGCGGCCGAGGGACATATCTGGGCTGGCACCCGCCGCTGGGAACAACGGAGAAGAGATGTCGGGGCGCTGGGGCGAGGGGAGGGCGGTGGGACGGGTGAAAAGCCGCTTTCAGCCCGAGCGATGGCCCGGCCGGGAAACGGGGCGTCCAGGCCCGGGGCAGCCGCGGCCGCGGGGCTCGGAGCGCTCCTGGCTCTGCGGAAGAGCCGGGGTGGGGGGTCCGGGTCTCGCTCCTCGGCCCTCAGCAAAACAAACCACCGCTGGAGGGGCCCTGGGGACAGGCTGCCCGGGGGCAGCGTGGAAGCGGTGCCGCCACCCTGCCCCGGCCCCGGCGGAGCGGCCGTGCGGGGCTGCGGGGGCTGCTGCGGAGCAAAAGGCAGGGCCGGAGCCGGGGGGGAGGCGACCTCGCTCCGAGCCCCCTTTATCCTCAGGGGCCCCGCGGCAAATCGGGTTTGCGGGGGGCGCAGCGAGGCCGGAGGGGGTGGGGGGAGAGGCGGCTCTGGCAAAGAGTGGGAGGGTGGCGGAGATTCCCCTCTCGGACTTAAAAATAAAACAATCGGGCTGTAAAAGTGCCCCCACCACCCCGCCTCCCCTTCCCGGACTCGCTCGGCCCGGTGGACTGAGGCGGTCCCGGCCACGCAGGCTGCCCCGAGCCGCTGCCCACGCACCCACCCACACGCCTCGCCGGGCTGTGGCGGCAGCCTCGCAGGGAGCAGGGCGCGGAGAGGTTCATTTTAGGTGAAGGAATGTCATTTCGCTACTAAATGGTTAGTCTAATTTGATCTTTATTATGCTGTGGATTAGGGCTGATTCATATTAAACACTAGTGCAGTTAATATAACTCCGGAACGTGTCCCACTGTATGTACAGCAGCCGCTGTTACAGCCCTGCCGCTTCCTGCGACCCACGGATTAAGATTTAATTAACAGGGAAGTTTGCTAGCTCTCGCCCGCAGCCTCTCTGCTTTACAAATAATTTATACTCGGTTCCGCGGATTTTTATTCAAGTGACAGCATTTCATTTTACTCTAAAAGGGACCTGAATATTTTATGTTCTGCCAGAGGCTTCTGTATACGAATCTCTCCAAGGCAGTTTCAAACCCAAGGGATTTTTTTTTTTTTTCCTAATCTACGGGAATTACCTCAATAGGGACAATGTATCAGATTCTCTTACCCCCTCCTCCTACTCTCCCCAATTTAACAGCCTAAACTATCCATATGAAAGTTAATCGTTGTGATCCCCATTGTCGGTTGTATAAATCCAAGCTCAAGACAACCTCCAAGACATGGCACCAACTCTGATAAATTGTCCTGCTCGCCTAACTACACAAGAATGGCTTTTATAATTAAAAGGGGAGCTGAGTTAAATCAACAGCTCCTAAGCCCTTCTCAACAGTGCTAGAATGGGAGAAATGTGGCGACCTGATTTCTTTAAGTAGCAGCTCTTTGTAGCCCATTCATAAACCTAGATATGGAAACCCATCCTGTATAAAGTCAGCTGCCAAGACTTCCCCCCCCCCCCCCAAAAAAAAAGAAGAAAAAAAGGAAAAAAGTTTATTCAGATGCTCAAAGTCCATCTTTTTTTCCAGTCTAACATAACCCTGGCACTTTATAACCAAACAGACAACTCCTTTTCCAATTAAAGTGGAATTAGGAAACTCAATCAAATTAGCTCACTATTAAAGCCCTTCTTTATTAAACCGTTTTATTGTAGTAATATTAAGTTTCACCCGCTCTTGGAACACGAGACTTTTAAAAGTTTCCCTTGTGATATTGATTTGGCTGCTCCCAGGATGGATCAGGGTCAAAAGTATTTACCTAGGTGCAATCTGTAATATTTACTTTTAAAAAAAAAAAAAAAAAAAAAAAAAAAAGAAAATCTTAAAATTGTATCCAGATTGATAAATTGTGTGAGGGAAGGAAGAACTGCATTTTACTTGCTCCCGTCCTTTGATTTTACCCAGGGGCTTCCTTCAATAGCTACGGCGGGACGCGTCTCCTCCCAGACTCACCAGTATATTAACTGGTTGGTAGGAGCCGCGCTGTCAGCTCCAAGCCAATGTTTACACAGTTATATTTGAAGTGAGAAAGTAAACAGTCCAGCTGTGCCACGAAGCGGTTCGGTGGGATTAGGTTTCCATACCAACCAACTTTAGGAGCTTTTACAGTCTTAATTCAACCATGCACTGAACTTGGTCTTTGTGAGTAATAGTTTTCCTGGGCCAAACACTCCCTGGACAGGGAGGAAAGTCGCGCTCTGGCTTTCGGAAGGATTGCCTCTCGGGATACACGGGGGGCACGCCCGCTGCCCCGCTGACTCATCCCAATAAATGAATAAATAGTGGGAGAGATGCCCTTCTTACTTTTTAATCTTGAATAATAGTCGGACACCATTGTCGTCCCCCCCCCCCCAAAAAAAAAAAAAAAACAAAACAAAACCAAAGAAAACCCAAAAGAAACAAACAAAAACACTAACAGAAAAAAATCCCAACCCACATGCATGTAGCCTTTACTCTTGAAATGAAGGGGAAGATTTGGGAGGACACAGAGCTCCAAAAGAAAACCAGCAAAATCTGTCCTGTGCGTCCCCCCACACTGAGCTCATGGTGTCTTAACTCATTCACGGCTGTTGCAAACACGTTTCTTACATTCTGAAAAAAACATCATTATTGTATATCTCTTGGCTTATCCTGATACAGAAACAACTAAAACGCACGTTCACATTTCAGATACAAGGGAAAAGTACCTCTCTGTTGCTACACAACCTGCAGTTGGCAAGGCAGGCGTTTGCTTTTCTTTGCGACAATGCCAGATTTCCTAAATATGATAAAAGCCAACAAGATATCAAAGGAAAAAATCCTGCTTAAATTCACAATTCTGATTTTTTTTTTTTCCCCTGGCATAAAATAATAAAAAGACCAGAACCAGAAATAAACATATTTGACAATTTCAGTTGATAAGGAAATTGCTCTGCTTTGTATGCATTTTTATTTATAAATTTTCCGAATAATATCTGGTTTGACCATGATAAAAATGTAGTAAACATGTTTGTAGTAACTGCATAAACTCCTTTAAATATTGACTGTACTTGTCAAACAAATTTCCCAAAACACACTTCCACCGTCTCATAAAATACCACTTGCCATTTATAAGACCAATTTTTTTTTTTAATAGAAAATAACATTTATTTCTATGAAATGGAAACACAGAATTACCTGTTAGAAACAGCAAGAAGTTTGCTACATCAGAACAAGAAAGCAATTTTCTTGCAGATCACAAATGAAGGAGGCTTATTAAACCGTCATACACCATTGGCGCCAGGGTCCTACGGACAGTTACAAATATATCTACTTTCCAATGTTATATACAGATCGTAACATTTCTGGGGGCAGGAAGGAAAAGGCTTTCAATTTGACAATATGTTTCATCTATATGCCTGGTAAGTATTACAATGAGCTGTCTAACCTTTAGCTTAACGTTAATACCAAGTTCACCTACAAGTTACATTAATAACTTAGATTTCCATTTTATAACATTATACACTTGCTAGTATACATATATATATGTATGTGTGTGGGAAAGACAGCACGCGTGTGTGTGTGTGTGTGTGTGTACACACCCCACGACGCACCAAGGATATCCATGCTTATGGCCATAAGCAACAAAGAGTGACTCATGTCTGGACAATGAAAGTGCACCTTTATCACCGTTTGAATACACCTACGTCTGTCCGCGCCGGGCTCTGCACGCAACCATCGCCTCTGTACGGGGGAGAGGGGAGAGAAACCACCCACCCGTGTCCGTCCACCCTTGCCTACCTAGCTACCACGACACGGGGTGGGGGGTGGGGGGAGAGCTTTAGGAAGCCGCCCTCGCTATTGCTTCTCGGGGGTGTTGTTGACCATGGGCCCGTAGAGCCCGCCGGAGTAGACCTGCTCCTTGTGCACGGCGGAGCGGTCCCGCATGAGGTCGCTGAAGGCGTAGTCCACGGGCGGCCGGAACCCGAGGGTGGGCATCAGCCCGGCCGTGGAGTAGGGGGTCATGAAGGCCAGTCCCCGGCTGTGCGCCGAGTAGGCGAGGCGCAGGGGGTTGAGTCCCAGGTGGGTGCCCAGCGGGTAGGCGCCGGCCTCGGCCCCGAAGTGCGTGGCGTTGGGCTGCAGGGGGGAGAAAGCGGAGCGGCTGCCCAGCGTGCCGATGGCGGGGGCCATGGCGCCGGCTATCAAGGGCCGGTGGTGGGCAGCGGCGGCGGCGGCAGCGGGGGTGGGCGGAAGGCCTTGCAAGGTGCCGTCCCGAGCCCAGCTCTCCTCGGGGCCCTTCTCCGGGCCACGGTTGTTGAGGATCTGCTCGATGGCCTGGACCACGTCCCCGCCGCAGCCCTGCAGCACCAGCTCCAGCACGCTGCGCTTGTGCGCCGGGAAGACGCGTGTCAGGATGTCGATGGGAGTCCGCTGCCGGCCAGCAGCCGAGGGCGACGGGTCCTGCTCGTCCTTGTCCACCTCCGAGCCGGAGTCCGAGCCCAGCGGGCTGATGGAGCCCGGGCTCTCCTCCCCCTCCTTCGGGCCCTTGGAGACGGGCGAGCTCAGGAAGGACTCGCCGTCCCCATTCTCCGAGCCCGAGCCGTGGCGAGCTTCTGGGGAGGAGGTGCCGGGCACGGACTCACCGTCCGGGGAGAGGGGCTTCCCGCCCGCCTGCTGCGGGGTGACGGCGCGGCTCGGCAGCAGCGTCTTGGGGAACAGCTCGAACTTCTGCATCTTGGACTCTGCGGGGCGAGGAGGAAGGGGACGGGGAACGAGAGACACCGTCAGTGCGGCTGCCCCAAGCGCTGTCGGCGGGGCCACTCGCGGGGGGATGCCGCCGGCAGCTTCGTGCTCACCGCTTCTCCCCCCACCACCCCGCACCCCCCCGCCACACACACACACCCACCCCGCCGGGCGCAAGAGCGCGGCCTTACCTGAGGCGCCGGCGCCTCCCTCGCCGCCACCGCCGGCGCAGACGGAGCCGAAGACCTCGTACGCGGGCCGGGGCGGGATGATGCCGTTGGCGGCAGCCAGGGCCAGCCCCTCGGCCGTGCCGTAGAGCAGCTGGAGCTCCCGGGCCTCGTTCTCCTCCTGCGCCTGCTGGCGGCGCAGCGCCACCTGGGCCGCCATGACGCGCTGCCGCTCGGCGATGAGGGTGCACTTGGCGCACATGCAGTCCTTCCAGCGGCAGTACCGCTTGTGGCCCTTCAGCGCCGACACCACGCCGTGGTTGCGGCAGCGGGCGCACTTCGGGGTCCGCGGGTACTTCTCGGCCGCCCGCAGCAGCAGCGGCGGGGCCCGCAGCAAGCTCCCGGCGACGCTCACCGGCAGCGTGGCCGCCGCCGCCGCCGCCGCCGCCGCCACCGAGCTGGGGGGGACCGGGGGGGGAGCGGCGGGCACGCTGGGCAGCTCCGACCGCAGCTCCATCCTGGCAAGCCCGCCCCGAAAGAGCGAGCCCCCCGCCCCCCCCGCCGCCGCTTTCCCCTTGGCCTCCCCTAAAACACCCCGGGGTGGGGGCGTCCCCGCGGCGCGCCCGCGGAGGAGCTCCCGGCGCCTTCAAGCGCAGTCACGCGTGGTGGGCAGAAGGAGCCCCGGGGGCCGGCCGGCAAACCCCAGCACCTATCCCCTCGTCCCCCTGCGCCGAAACACGGCCCCGGAGTCGGGGCTCGAGCGAGGCGGGGGCCGTCGGAAGCCTTTCTGCCCCCTCCTCCCCTCCCCTTCGCTCCCGAAAAGCGAATCTAAGACAAGAAAATCCAAGAAAACTTAGATCGCTCTCGCTTCCTCGCTCTCCGTGCGCATCCGGCAGCGCAGCACCAAGTCCATCGCGCCGGGCTCGAAGCCGAGCCTTCCCGTCCGCGCTGGCGGGATCGCCGCTCCCCGCGGCGTCCCGGTGGCCACCGGACCTGCTACCTACGCTCTGCTCCCCCTTCCCCCTTCCGCTACCACCACGGATTAAAAGTGTCCCTTCAAAGAGCAATCCGGCACCTCCAAACGACAGGATCCCTCGCCACAAGCCGCGGAGGCTAAAATCCAGGAGAGAATTTGAAAACAAACAAACAAACAAAAAAAAAATAATTAAAAAAAAAAAAAAAAAAAAAAGAAAAATCACCCCGTCTCCCGAGCAGCAACCCCGCAGCCGGGCGGAGGGGCCGGCAGCCCGCGGCCCAGCGCGGCTCGGCTGGGCTCGCCCGCCGCGGCGAGCTCGGAGGCGGCGGCCGGCGTTCGGGGCAGGCAGAGCCGACGGCGGGGCCGGAGCGGGCAGGACCCGGAGCGGGCAGTAGCGGAGCGGGCAGGACCCGGAGCGGGCAGTAGCGGAGCGGGCAGGACCCGGAGCGGGCCCGCAGCGCCTCAGGGCCCCGCGCCCCCCGGGACACGCCGCCGCCCCGCGCCGCCTGGCGCGTGCGGCCCGCGCGGCCGGAGCTGCAAGGCAGAGCGCGCTGGCCGCCGCGCCGCGCGCCGCCACTCGCGCTATTGTTGCGCCCCGCCGTTGCCATTAGGCAACATTTGACAACAATGTGGCGCCTGCTATTGGCCAGGGGCGGGAAGCGCCGCTCTGATTGGCCGCCCCGGCGGCGGCCCGAGCGCGCCGCGCCCGCGGAGAGCCGGGAGGGCCCCGGGGGGACCCGCGGGGAGCGCGGGGTCCGCGCGCGGGCGTGGGCGGGCGCGCGCGCGCTCCTGCCGCGTGTGCGGGCGTGCGTGGCCGCGCCTGCGGAAACCCGGCCGCTCTCACGCTACCCGAGAGCTTCGCTTTCCCTCTGACTGAAGCCGGTGGAAACGGTGTTTGCCTTCCAACTGCTTGCTGGGGTTTGGGGGTGGGTTTTTTTGGTTGTTTGTTTGTGGGGTTTTTTTGTTTGTTTGTTTTTCCTTGGGTGCCACTTGTCAAAAGGGCGGTGGAAGTATACTGTGGAAGGTGACAATTCACTGTATGGTGTCCCCCCTCCCCTTGGAGATTTTGTTTTATAATAGTGCGTAACGATGCTTCTCTCCTTCCCTTTTTCTTCCTTCCCTTTTCCTTCTTCCCTTTTCCTTCCTTCTCTCCTTCCCTTTTCCTTCTTTCCCTTTTCCTTCCTTCTCTCCTTTCCTTTTCCTTCCTTCCCCTTTCCTTCCTTCTTTCCTTCCTTCTTCCTTCCTTTCCTCTTCCTCCCTTCCTTTTTCCTCCGTTCCCTTCTTTCTTTCCCTCGCTCGCTCTCTACCCTCTCCTCTTTCTTTCTCTCCCCCCCTTCCCGTCTCTCGCTCACCCCACAGCTGCAGGTGACTCTTACAACCGCCGCTGCAATAGGAGAAGCCCGAGGTGAGTGTGCCTTTCCATATTCCATTCCTCTCCGCGGTCTGGGGGAGCCCTGCCCGCCCGTCGCGCCCCGGAAAGCGCAGCTGCTCTTTCTCCTCCAGCTGTTTGCCTGACTACATGTTCAACAGGCGCCTTCCCCGCGGGGACGAGAAACCCAAGGGCCTGATTTTTGAGGAGGAGGCGGCTGTCGGGCTGGTAACTGTATATTAACCCCGAAGCTTTTGTTTTAGCACTAACCACCCGGGTTTGACGTCACCTTCGCTGGTAACGGGGAGGAGGTAGCGGCACTTGGGCAGCCGTGGTGGGAAATAACGCCGACTCCCTTTCCCCAGGGCTCTCCCCTCGCTTTCCTACGAGGCATCTCCATCCCCCTCGGCACTTTCGAAAGTGCTCTGTTACCTGTGGCCGTACGTCCTTCCCCATAGTGGGAACCGTCTGCCGGTGTCTGAGCCCCCCCCGCCGCCTCGGCACCCCCACCTGCGCGGTCACACGCTGCGAGACCTTCTCCCGGCACTTCCCCGGGTGGGCTGCCCCCGGGCGAGCTCCTGCCCCCGCCGCTCTCGGGCACCCGAGCCGGGAGAAGGGAAAGCCCCGAAGGTTCCGGACCCGCCCGCCGCTCCCTCCGCGGCCGGGGAAGCGCGCAGGACCGCGCAGGGCCGCGCAGGGCCGCGGGGCAGGACAAGCAGCGCTCGCTGCTGCTCCGCTGCCCTTCCCTTTTGTCACACTCCTTCTGTGGCTGCGAGAAGCACAACTGCAAGGTAGCAGAGTCCTCCAACTTGTCAATATTTTTATTACACTTACATCGTTCTCCTTCTTTCTTTTTAGTCTTTTTTTTGTTTTCTTTTACGAAATGAAAGCTTTCCCACCCGACTTTCTGTGTGTGCAGTTGCCACCCACTCCTCGTGATTTAGGTGTTATAACACCTTTATTTAATACAGCCGCGAAGTCAAAATATCCGATTTAATTTTATTCGCAACCACTAATTTTACTCTCCGGGGACAATTACTCAGATCATCTGATTTAATTGGAAATTCGTAGAACTCGATCAGAATGAATGAGAAACATTTGAATTATTGCTTTATGTTGGTTTACGATGGAGAAAATGTTCTTCCTTCTTCCTGGCAGTTTTGTTTGGTTTTGCGGTGTTTTTTTCTTCTGCAAATACCTTCCCTCTCCCCCCTGAGGCAGCCTTCCACCACCAACAACACAGGACACGGGTTACACTGATTTCCCCGGTTCCCTTTTCTTTTAGCTTTGATTTAAATTAAAGGGCTGGGTTATCCTTTCCGTTTTTGGCGGTTTCAAACGATCTATTTTGGAAACAGCCGTGGTAAAAAAAAAATAAAAAATAAAAAATAAAAATGAAGCAACCAAAAAACCCCCAAGCAACAACAACAGTGGGTTATTATTTATTAACCAGCCAGTGAAATTCGGTGATTTCTGTTCAGAGCCTCATGCCGTTACAAATGGCGAGGTAGAAGTTTGAACACATAACGTGTAGTATCTCTACCTCAAGGCGTTCCATACAGTTTCCGTAGGCTCATGCAGCACGTCCCCCAGTGACTATATAGGAAGAGTTCGGACACGATGTCCTAGCGCTGTGCACGTAAACACGCAGTGCCCGTTTCTGATGTTTATCCCAAATCAGCACTACAAACACTCTCTCACCCAAAACACTTAACTGTATATCGCTTTTTAAATATCACGCTCAGTTTCAATCCAACATCTTAATAGTCGAGTTTTATAAACAACAACAACAACAACAAAAAAGAGAAGCGTTTATCACAAGAACATGTAACGCGACCCCAGGCACCAGCAAGTCCCGAGGACATTTGCCAAAAGCTTCCCCCATTTCTTTCACGAGCATTTCGCGGTTTCCCACCCTCTGCTTCCCTCCCACCGCCCCGCAGGGGCAGCGGCGGCCCCGGGGCGGGCGGGCGGGGGCCGGGGGCGAAGCCGCCGCTCCCGGGAAATCGCCGCTCGCCGCCGGGATCGCTCCTGCCCCGGAGCCGGGGCCTCTTCTGCGGGCTCGGCACACGCCTCCGGGCTCCGAGAAGCTCTGCCCTTTCCTCTTCCCAGCTCCGGTCGCTGACGGGGGTACTTTCAAACGGGATCCAACTATTTTGTTGTTGGTTTTGTTCTCTTACAAAGTCCCTTTAGAAAAGGAGAGCCTCGGAGCCCAGAGTCTCACTTTTCACTGATTTGATATTTTAATAATAATAATAATAATAATAATTACAATGATCATGATAATAATAATAGTCATCGTACTAGTAATATTTTCACCCCTCTCCTTATTTTCCTCTGGAAGCTTTCACTGTGAACCCAAACAGTGCGCACATTTCCCAGATTTTAATCAAGCAAAACACAACTTGGCTATGAGTTAGCCCGGATCAGCAAAGCCGCGGCCAGGGCTTGCCATGAGGCTTTCGCCAGCTTTGTCCCGGCCTGCCAGAGCCCGGGGGGTGTGTGAGCATGTACGGGAGGCGGCGAGGGGGGGGGGTATTGCTGTTGCTGACACCCCCTTCTTCTTCCCCCCTTCTCTCCGACTTCGTTTCTCTTTGACGAGGCACAATAAAATCTTCATGTACTTCCCTGCACTTGTGTCTTTCTTGGAGGGGGAGGGGGCTGTTTGCTTTAGGGACCCCCAGAGCAGCCGCGCTCCCGCCGCATGGGCGGGTGTGCCGGGCAACGGGAGCGGGACGCCGGCAGGCTACGAGAAGAGAAATTAATTCCTCCAAACCCAGCGAAATGCAACTTTAAAGCCCCCGAGGCTTGTCTCCCTTCCAGCTTGGCTCCCGCAGCTCCCTCCACCACCGTCAAAACCACGAGAAGAGCCGAGGCGTGGACACAGCTCCTTGTTTTCTCCCTTCCCGCCCCCCTCCACCCCCCACGCAGGGGCTCGCCGGTGCCCGGAGGAGCAGCCCAGGTTTGGCACAGGGCGCCTGGGCCAGCTCCAGGGCCCGGGGGCGAGTGGGTTCCCCCCACAGCGAGAGCCCTGCCCGGGCCTGGCGCAAGCGGCTGCCGGCCTCACGGAGCCCCCGCGGCGTGGGGCGGTCAAAAACAGAGATTACGGGGCGCAGCGTCGCCCCCGGTTTGGGCAGTGTAAAAAAGCGACGTCACTTCGTTACAGGAATGAAAAGAAACGGCGCGTTTCGTTGCGTGGTGCCCCGGCTGCTGCTTA